TATGGTGTGTGTGTGTGTAGTGTGTGTGTGTGTGTGTGGTGTGTGTGGGGTGTGTGTAGTGTGTGGTGTGTGTGGGGTGTGTTTACAGTGTGTATGGTGTGTGAAGGGTGTGGGTTTGCAATGGTGTGTGTGTGAGATGTGTGTTTGTATAGTGTATGGGGTATGTGTGTATGTACAGTATATGTGGAGTGTGTGTACATGTGTGTAGTGTGTTTGCATGATGTATGTGGGGTGTGTATGGTGTGTGTGTAGTATGTGTGTTTTACAGTGTGTGTGGTGTGTGTCCATTTGTAGATGTATGTGGGGTGTTTGTATGGTGTATGTGTGTTTGCATGGTGTGTGTGTTGTAAGGTGTATGTGGTGTGTGTGTGTATGATTATGTGCTGTGTGTGTGTCTGTATGGTGTATGTGCTTATATGATGTATTTTGTGGTGTGTTTGTATGGATGTATGTGGTGTATGTTTGTACAGTGTATGTGTGGTGTGTGTGTGTTTATATGATGTATCTGTGGTGTGTGTGTTTGTATGGTGTATGTGTGGTGTGTGTGTTTGCAAGGATGTATGTGGTGTGTGTGTGTCTGTATGGTGTATGTGTGGTGTGTGTGCTTATATGATGCATCTGTAGTGTGTTTGTATGGTGTATGTGTGGTGTGTGTTTGATGTGTGTGGTGTGTGTGTTTGTATGGTGTATGTGTGGTGTGTGTTTGATGTATGTGATGTGTGTGTGTTTGTATGGTGTATGTGTGGTGTGTTTGCATGATGTATGTGTGTGTGTGTGTTTGTATGGTGTATGTGTGGTGTGTTTGTATGATGTATCTGTGGTGTGTGTGTGATGGTGTATGTGTGGTGTGTGTGTATGATGTATGTAGGTTATGTGTGTGTTTGGTGTGTATGTGTGTGTTTGATGTATGTGGTGTGTGTGTGTCTGTATGGTGTATGTGTGGTGTGTGTGTTTATATGATGTATCTGTGTGTGTGTTTGTATGATGTATGGGTGTGTGTTTGTGTGGTGTATGTGTGGTGTGTGTTTGATGTATGTGATGTGTGTGTTTGTATGACGTATGTGGTGTGTGTTTGTATGGTGTATGTGTGGTGTGTGTGTTTCTATGGTGTATGTGTGGTGTGTGTTTGATGTATGTAGGTATGTGTGTTTGTATGGTGTATGTGTGGGGTGTGTTTGTCTGATGTATGTGGGGTGTGTGTGTTTGTATGGTGTATGTGTGGATGTGTGTTTTATGATGTATGTGGTGTGTGTTTGGTGTATGGTGGTGTGTGTATGTATGGTGTATGTGTGGTGTGTGTTTGTATGATGTATGGGTGTGTGTGTTTGTATGGTGTATGTGTGATGTGTGTTTGTATGATGTATGGTGTGTGTTTGTACAGTGTATGTGTGGTGTGTGTGATTTGTATGGTATGTGTGGTGTGTGGTTTGTAAGGAGGTATATGTGGTGTGTGTGTTTGTATGATGTATGTGGTGTGTGTTTGTATGCTGTATGTGTGGTGTGTGTGTTTGTATGCTGTATGTGTGGGGTGTGTTTGATGTATGTGGTGTGTGTGTTTCTATGGTGTATGTGTGGTGGTGCTATGGTGTATGTGTGGTGTGTGTTTGTGGCGATGTATGTAGGGTGTGTGTTTGTATGGTGTATGTGTGGTGTGTTTGTATGGATGTATGTAGGGGTGTGTGTGTTTGTATGGTGTATGTGTGTGGGGTGTTTAGTTTATGTGGTGTGTGTGTTTTATATGTATGTGTGGTGTGTATGTTTGGTATGTGGTGTGTGTTTGTATGATGTATGTAGGGTGTGTGTGTTTGTATGGTGTGTGTGTGGTGTGTGTTTGTATGATGTATGTAGGGTGTGTGTGTTTGTATGGTGTATGTGTGGGGTGTGTGTTTGATGTGGAAGGGTGGTGTGTGTGTGTTTCTATGGTGTATGTGTGGTGTATGTTTGTATGTGTGGTATGTGTTTGTATGATGTATGTAGGGTGTGTGTGTTTGTATAGTGTATGTGTGGTGTGTGTGTTTCTATGGTGTATGTGTGGTGTGTGTTTGATGCATGTAGGGTGTGTGTTTGTATGGTGTATGTGTGGTGTGTGTTTGAGGCATGTGATGTGGGTTTGTATGACGTATGTGGTGTGTGTTTGCTGGCGATGTGTGGTGTGTGTGTGTTTTCTATGGTGTATGTAGTAACATGTATGTAGGTATGTGTGTGTTTGTATGGTGTATGTGTGGGGTGTGTTTGTATGATGTATGGGGTGTGTGTGTATGGTATGTGTGTGATGTGTGTTTGTATGATGTATGTGGTGTGTGTGTTTGTATGGTGTATGTGTGTGTTTGTATGGTGTATGTGTGGTGTGTGTTTGATGTATGTGGGGTGTGTGTTTGTATGGTGTATGTGTGGTGTGTGTATGATGTATGTGGTGTGTGTTTGTATGATGTGTGTAGGGTGTGTGTGTGTTTGTATGGTGTATGTGGGGTGTGTTTGATGTATGTGGTGTGTGTGTGTTTCTTTATGGTATGTGTAGTGTATGTTTGGTGTATGTGTGGTGTGTTTGTATGATGTATGTAGGGTGTGTGTGTGTTTGTATGGTGTATGTGTGGTGTGTTTGTAAGGATGCATGTAGATGTGTGTGTGTTTGTATGGTGTATGTGTGGGGTGGGTTTGATGTATGTGGTGTGTGTGTGTTTCTATGGTGTATGTGTGGTGTGTATGTTTATGTATGTGTGTGTGTGTTTGTATGATGTATGTAGGGTGTGTGTGTGTTTGTATGGTGTATGTGTGTGTGTGTTTCTATGGTGTATGTGTGGTGTGTGTGTTGATGATGTAGGGTATGTGTGTGTTTGTATGGTGTATGTGTGGTGTGTTTGTATGGGACGTATGTAGGGTATGTGTGTGTTTGTATGGTATGTGTGGTGTGTGTTTGTATGATGTATGTAGGGTGTGTGTGTGTTTGTATGGTGTATGTGTGGTGTGTGTATGTTTTTATAGTGTGGTGTGCAGTGTGAACCCAGTCCCCCAAGGGCCTGGGGCTCCATGGAGGGGAAGGCAGTTCTCCCTGTGGGTGTGGCTGTTGGGGTTGGGACTGGCATGGCAGTGCTGATGGATCTGCAGGACCCAACACTGGTGCTGACCCCTGGCAGGGCTGTGACGTGTCCCACACTGTCCACAAGCTGATGAGAGGCCCTGTGACTACACAGGACTGGGGGTGCTGCTGAATGCACACCCTATAGTCAGGTAACTCAGGGCCTGGGCTCTGGCCCTCAGCTGAATCTCTGGCTTGGCCACTAACTAGCTATGTGATCTTGGGCCAGTTACCTAGCCTGTCACAAAACCTTGGTCTCCTCATCAGTAAAACGAGGATAACTGATTTCGTAGGGTTCTTGGGAGTGTTCACTGAGACCACACACATGTAGTGCTTGGGGAAACACTGCAGGCAGTGCCTGGCTGTCCTGGGCACGCATAGCCGGAATCCATGCCCACTGCTGAGTGTTCTGAACGTCGCCCATGTGCAGAACACCCAGCTCTTGTGAAACTAACATAGGTGTACATGTGACTTCCGTTCTAACTGGTGAGCAGAAGTCAGTACCTGTGGGTCCTGCAGAGAGAGCCCTGTCCATTCTGGAGCCCTAGCCCCATAGGCTTGGCGCTGGGCATCATCTCTGTCAGGGCTGGCAAACTGTGCCTGCGGCTAATATGTGTAGTCTTAGAGCTATGGATGTTGTCACATTTTGAAATGGTTGAAAAAGAAATCAGAAGACTAGTTCATGCCCTACGGAAATTACATGAAACTTAAATTTCAGTGTTCACAAGTAGGGGTTTACTGGGACACCGGCCCATTCATCTACATAAGGTGCGTGGCCGTTCTCCCACTGTGAAGGCAGAGGGAGTGGTCACTACAGACCCAGCAGGACTGCAACATCTGCAGTATTTACCATCTGGCTCTTGACGAAGAACTGGAGAAGCTAGAAAACGATACAGAAGAACTTGTGAGGCTAGAAAACTAGACTCTGATCTAGACAGGCCCCATCTCCTTCCCCACGTGGCACTGGGAATGGTGTCTGGGAGGCAGAGGTGGTCAGGGCAGAGGCTGCCTTCTCAGGTTGCAGGCACCCGAATAGCCAAGGAAGGAAAGGTTCTGGTGGAAACACCAGGACTGTCTTTTTGGGAGGTTGTTTGTGTTTTATTATTTCAGCAATGTGACAATGTGTAGGCACTCAGTAAGGATCACATCCTCCTGCCATCCTAACCTGACAGCCATTGTATCTCTCCGTGATGCCTTCAGCTTTTATCTGAAAGCCCTTTTAGGATGGATAACTCACACAGGGGGATCCAAGCCAGGTACGCCTCTAGCCCCAGGTGAAACCCAAGAACCTGCAGCCGCACGGCCCACAGCCTTAGTGGGCCACGTTGCCTCAACCAGACTCAGTTTCCAGATCGGTAGAAGCCTAGGCGGAACCATGTGAAGTTGCTAGTAAGCATAGAAATGAATGAATATGGGCAATTTCAAAAGGTTCAATCTGAGGGACTATATACCCCCAAAGCCATCATAATTCAAGGGTATCTATAGACTTGAAGCCGTCTTGAGTAACATCATAATTCTAAGATGCCTAGTGGGTTGAGGCTTGCGAGGGAAGAGCTGCTCCCTGAGCGGGACACACAGGCCCACAGGGGACTCAGCCCAGGGGCCCGCTCCAGGGTCCCCCAGGGTTGAGGGGGCACAGACCACTCACTGCCTAGTCTCCCACTATTTACACTCAGAACCACTCGGTCCTGACACATTTCCTGAGGGCTCCTTTGCAATCCCAAACTCAGGGACCAGATGGATGCAGAACATGAAGTAACACTCCAGTTCCCAGACTCGTTTCATCCGGCGCTCACCACGGAAGCTCAGGACCACGTGGATCTAATCCCAGCAAGGCCACAGTGTCCCTGCTCCCCGAAGGTGGCTCCAGACCTCAGAGGCCAAACCACAGCATGCCACAGAGCAGGCAAGCCCCTCCACTTACCTCTCTCTGGGCAACGGCTTGGGCTCGGGGCGGATGGCAGCCATGGACAGAGGTGCTTGCCGGGAAGGAGATGCGAAGTTCAGATCCAAGGAGCCTGCCTTCCTGTGCAGAGGCTCCATCCCCATGGCACCCTGCATCTCGCTTTCTATGGGGCAGGACCCTGCCCTGCCGTGGGTAGACAGTGAGGACACTTCGGGGCCCACTGCACCTTGGAGCAGGGCGTCCATGGCCACCTGGGGGTCGTGGGTTGGAGACACAGATGGTGGGGAGCGTGACTTCTTCTTGGTGGATGCTCCGGCTAGAAGCTTCAGGAGCCCACTCTTCTTCTCTTTCTGGGGAGACACACAAGATGGAAACCAAACAGGTGAATGTTTTCCAATGCCCTTGCTGTCAGAGAGAGGGAAATGCATCTTCCTATGCGGAACTTTATTTTTTTATTTCTTATTTTTTCAGAGACAAAAGACTTTACCATTCACAGCAACAGCAGTAGCCAGAGTACCAGCATTTTCTCCCACCAGTTACCTGAACTCCAGTTCCCACATGGTGAACCAGTGAGGGCCAGGTGACGCGTGCAGGCACACCGGGCTGTGTTAAAGCAGAGGACCCGGAGCTTCGGCAGACCAAATCCTCTCTACTGGACTGTGAGGACGCTGGCCCTCTGCTCTGGAGTCAGGCACTAAGCATGCCTGCTCTTTGCTTTGAAGACTGACATTATTTCTATTTTCCAAGGCTGGTGCCTACACAGACATCTTGAAAAGACAGGCCAACAGATGGCATCTCAGTTGTAAGATGGGTAGAAGGCTGAGAGACCCGTGGAGAATGGTTCCATTGGGCAACTTTAAAGATAACCTTGTAAAGTGGCTCAGAGGAGGAAAACAAAGCTAAGCCCAAAAGCTCATCCAGGCTGGGCACGGGGGCTCACGCCTGTAATCTCAGCACTTTGGGAGGCCAAGGCGGGCAGATCACTTGAGGTCAGGAGTTCGAGATCAGCCTGGCCAACATGGTGAAACCCCGTCTCTACTAAAAATACAAAAATTAGCTGAGCGTGGTGGCACTTGCCTGTAATCCTAGCTACTCAGGAGCCTGAGGTGGGAGAATCACTTGAACCCAGGAGGTGGAGGTTGCAGTGAGCTGAGATGGCGCCACTGACACTCCAGGCTGGGTGACAGTCTGAGACTCTGTGCCCCCCACCTTGCCCCCCCAAAAAACTCGTCCAACGCTTGTTTTCCTTTCTCTTCCAAAATCTAGCAGAAATGTCCAAAATAGGTCCGAAGGCCCCTGGGGCAGGCTGGCGATGCCATTCTCAGAGGAGGAAGCTGCTGATGGGCCATCCCCGACAACACAGCCCTCTCTGTCACAGGACCTGGCCAAGCCTGGCAACGTCATTGTCTGTGTAGAGGAACCAGCAGTCAACATCACCTGCTTTTTCCTCCCCCAACCCTTCTAAGTGGACTTTGCAGGACAGGTGACACGGTTCCTGATGGGACCTCCGGTGAGGCCCAAGTCACTCTGGGGTCTGGGTGTCTAAGAGCACAACTGCTCCCACCCCAGCCAAGTCCCCCCAAGCCACACGCCTGGACTATTGTTGCAGCGGCACCAGAGTCTGGGGGCTGTGGCTGTGGCATACTGCTTAGTGCCTGGTGAAGGGTCTCCACCGGGTAAGGTGTCTAAAGGGACCGTCCCTATCATCCTTGGTGACCAGCATCTGTTCCACCATATTCATTAATCCCGTTGCATTTAGAGCCTGTGCCCCAGGCCACTGCTGCCTATGCAATAGGGAGGGAAGGAGATATAACGAGGATGTGCCCTGGGCAAGTGTGGGTGGATCTCCTCTCATAGGTTTCAGAGTCAAAACCCAGCCCCGGACTCCACTGCCTGAGTCTTGGCCTTTGCTCTCCGCTTTTCTCAATGTGTTTCCTCCAAGGCTGGATTCATTTTGGAGGTCAGCTGTTTCTGCTTTCAGGTTCTGTCCTGATAGTCCATGGGGAGTTCTGGGCGATTTCAGGAGGAAGAGGCAGCCCAGCTCCGAGCCATGCGGCACGGGGATCCAGACACCTGACTCTGCTACTGGGCTTGCAGCCCCCTGGCCTATCTCCCCCTGCCTCACTCTCCCTCCAATAACTTCCTGAAGGTCTTGTGCATCGTGCCAGGCCCTGGAGGTTGTGGGCAATAGGAAACGGCCTGGAGCAATCAGTTAGACATGGATTTCGCTGCAGCCCTTCACGTGCTGGCAGCTCAAAAGGCGGCGTTTCCCTAGTCTAGTTCTCAGAGAACCCTTGTTGGCGGCACAGCTTGAGAGAGAGTGTTCCCAGGAACACACATTGGGAACTGCTTGGGCAGAACTAGAAAGGAAAAGAAGAAACAGTGAGGCGTTGGGGGCAGAACCCTGGGATCTGAGTGGGGTGCCTGGGGGCAGGGAGTGAGGAGGCTTGTTCAGGCCACGATGCAGGCAGGGCATACGGCCTGGGGATGGCAGACCCAGCAGCTGGGCCCGTTAGCCCCTCCGCAGGCCAGGAAGGAAAGAACTGCAGTGCCTGGGGTGGGCACTGGCTTCCCAGGGGGCCTGCACCAACAGCAAGAGTTCTTGATGGGAGGGTGACCTTGCCCCCAGGGGACAGGTGGCAATGTCTGAAGACATCTGGGCTGTCACAACTCAGGGTGCCACTGGCATCTGGTGGGCAGATCCCAGGGATGTTGGCAAACATTCTCCAATGCGAGGGAAACCCCCATGGCAGGGTTATCCGACCTCAAATGTCATCAGTGCTAAGGCTGGGATCCCTAGGTCACAAGGACAGCAGTCCAGGATGTAGGGACAGAAGCCAGGCCTGCCCCATGTGTCGCGTTGGAGCCCACTCTGCAGGCTCTAGGGCTGCTGGCCGCTCCTCCCCTCCTGGCAGGCAGGAGACCTGGATGACCTTGCGTTGCCCAAAGGAAAAGGAATTACCCTTTCTCTGCCCACCTCTGTCTCCTCTTCCCCGTGAAGGGGCCTGGTGGCTGTTCATCCCCTCCCAGGCTCCCCTCTAGAATCAAAGCTTTGGAAGTACAGGGGTCGTGTTCGTTTTGGTCACTGCAGTATCCCCACCAGCGCCTAGCACAGTGCTGAGGACACAACAGGCATTCAACTCTTGTTTGCTGAATGGACTGAGTCCAGCTGAGGGCTCACGGGCCCCTCGGGGAGAGCCCTTCTGACCACTGAGTAGAGAGGGACTCGGTGGACAGATCCTTGCTCCCAGGGCACCGTGGGCCCTGTGGACCTCGACGTGGGGTATGTTGGAGCTGGAGAGGCTGAGGCCCTGCTGCCTCACCACCCAACCACTGAGAGTATCTGCAGTCAGGCCCAGCCTTACTGTCTGCTTTGGAAAGGGTGGGGTGCGTAAATGTGATGGATAATTTTCCTGTCTCAATTCTCCAGGATTAAACAAACTGAACACTTAATGAACTTGGAAAAACGCTGATGTCATGGCTAGAAAACCCTCTCCAAAACCTCCACCTTCCAGGACAGAATTCTGCTAATGCCTTAAGCATCAGCTATTACCAATCACTGTGGAATTCCCCAGCACTAACAATCGTCATGCTCACGGAATCCATGGAATATGGAGGTAGACGATCCAGGCACTTCCCTGGTGGTCGTCTCGCGTGCGGCAGGAAAGAATAGCCAACGGACAGTTTGCACGTGGTGGGGGGAGGCTCACAGATTGACTTTGGGGACAACACCGTGGGAGGAGAAGAGGTTTTAGAAGACACAATTTAGGACTGATCTGGGCTGAAAGATTATGTTAAGGAAAGATGGATTTGCTGGGTTTCTCCTGGGACTGGGAGTAAGTGAGCAATGTTCACGAGCCCAGTGGGATGAGGATTTGGCATCCCTGTTACGTTTTTCTGACTGCTTTCTTCTGCAGACGTTCCCTCTAGCACTCTGCTGTTTCCATCTGTGGCCTGCACGCCTCTCTGTTGGGAGGATCACTTTCCATTCCAATGACCCTTCTGGATGGTCAGGCTCTAATCAGTTCAGCCTCTCAGGGACAAAACCAAACAGACTGATCTGTTAGGAACAAAATGCCTCGTTTGCTCTGAAACGTCCTGGCCTTGGTGGGAGACAGATCTGCTGAGAAACGTGCACTGGTCTTTCCTCCATGGAAGTGATGGGCTGCTGTCGCCCTGCTGGAATGTCCCTCTTCTGGAAGGCTCTCCCCACCACTCAGTGCCCTCAGCCTGCCCAGCTTCCCTGTCCCCTTCTTCTATCACATCCTGTGCCAACCACACTGCTGGGTGCAGACTCTGTGGGTGTGGCGAAGGCCCGGCTCCGCGTCCTCTCCACTTGCGTTTTGTTTCTGCACCTTTGGAAGGGTACCAGCTGCCTCGCTGAGCTGCGGAGATGACAGATATAGGAGCGCTTTTAAAGGATTAATGTATCTCATCAATATCTGGTGATTAGGTTGCTGTTTTTATAATGTGTTTACTCATCTCTGAATATTAAATAGTTTACGAAATACCTAGGAGCTAGTTAGTTCCCAATATATTTTTGTCAAACAAATAAAATGAGATTCCTATCCAAGACCTCCACATGCCTCGCCGTGGGAGAGCACCCGAACCACTGGGGGTCTCTCAGCTCTCTCATTCTGTATACAAAGACTGTCAGGGAGTCCCACAAAATGCAAAATGCGGGCCCCACCCCCAAAGATTCGGCTTCTGTGGGTCTGAAATGAGGACCAAAAAATGATTCTGATACAGAACATAGGAAGTGATCCATTAGAAGCCAGTGGTTGTTGTGCAACTCGGTAAGTGATTTCCAGATGACAAAGAGTAATGTCAAGACACAGAGAAGGGGCCAGCTCCTTGGGAAAGAGATGAAAGAAGGTTACTGAGGGTTTCTGACACCTACTCAGTGCCCCAGCCAGGTACGCACATGGGTTGAAAGCAGGGCCCCACGGTGCTGGACTTCCAGCTGGAGCACACACACTGATTCTGTGGACCTGAACTGTCTGGCTGGCTCCAGGTGAGCCCCCACTTCCCAGACACAAGGTGAGAAGCCAGGAGCTGGTAGGTGTGTAGGAGATCAAGGGCCAGGGAGGGCCAGGGACTGGAGGCCTGCGATGAGGCTGTGCTGCAGCCCTGGCTCTCAAGATCTAGGTGTGAAAGCATCCCTGTGTCCAGGCACAGAACACTGTCATGTTAGAGAAGGGAGAGCTTATGAGTTATATCCAGAAAAAGCCGTATGTGTGTGTGTGCTTACACACACACAGCCTAAAATCCAGTTGTACTTCACTTTAAAGAATCATCTAGAAATCTTATATTTAAAAAGGAGAATTTTGAAGGCATTTATTCATACTAC